ATAGGTTTGTATTGTTAAGCAAAAAAGCCTATTTTCTCCAGGCAATACAACGTGACCTAATTAATACCCAATACAAAACCTGACGAAAAAAGATAACATAAACTGATATAAATAAATTGCAGAACATTTCCGTAAACCTTCTCACAAGTACACATAGTCCGTATCTGGTACCTAATGAAGTAAACTCCAAATCAAAATTCCTTCATTGCAAGGGAGCGTCGGGAGTTGTAGGATGTGTGCGTGCGTGTGCCGCGTGCGTGCGTGCGTGGGTCCGGGTGTGGTGGCCGGAAGTCTGCGCTGCAGCCTGCGCCCGAAGAGTGATTGATGGAGGCGACGTCTAGGTCTCTGAGGAGGTCTGGCGGCGCGTCGGCGCCGCGTATCGGAGGCGGCCCCAAGCCAAATCATTTGACCGGCATTCATCTCTCAACTCTCCACTCGCGCCTAATGAGTTATCTTGCTGCATGTTAAGTTGCGATGACACCTGGTTCAGGTTAATGTTTTTTTTTTTTTAATTTTTTAATTTTTTTAATTAAAGTTTTAAATTTTTTCGCGTCCGAATAATGCGAGACACAATACGAAAAATCCAACGCCGTTTTCCTACTAAACTACGCCTCGAAATCGACAACCTTTCACGGCCTTTCGTATTCCTCTCAGCAATTTGCTTCTTGTTGATTTTTTCGTGTTGGTCGGGTTTTAATTGACGGGAGGCACGCCAAACTATCGCCACATAATAGTCGCAACAATACAAGAAAATACTTATAGATAATTCGACTGATATTACGAGTGGTGAATACGCCCAACTCTACGTTCCATTGGAGCCAAGAAATTACAAATGAAACTTTCACATTTTCGTTCCAGCGTCACCCGTGAGCTATGGAACGCTACAGTAGCAGATTTTATTTCTTCTATTTTTCTGCTGAGGATTTATTATTAACAATAACGCAAATATTGCGCAACTGCACAGAGAACTAAATGAAATATAATGCATATGAAGTGTCGTGCAAATCTTTACCATACAAAAATATTAATTTATCTAACAAACTTGTTATTCCTTTATCTTTGAAGCTCCAATTCTAATGCGCGTTTGACTACACAACCTCATGTTTTGTAAATATTTCATGAAATGACCACCCGTTAGGAGTGAGGCTTTAATCTTCTGCATACAGAGTCCTGCAAATGAGCTTGGCTGTCCGGATGACGCCGCACTTCGAAGGTTGTAGTGCCAACGTTTCGACCACCTTGTTGTGGTCTTCCTCAGGGTTGGTCAGCCGACAGTGCTGGTCTGCCGACAAGGAAGGCCACGACAAGGTATTCCAAACGTCGGCACCACAGCCTTCGAAGCGGCGTCACCCGGACAGCCAAGATCATTTGCATGAAAGGGCGCGGAAGCCTGCGACTTCACTCCAAACAGTTGGAAATGATCTTGGCTGTCCGGGTGACGCCGCTTCGCAGGCTGTGGTGCTGACGCTTGGACTATTTTGTCGTGGGATTCCTCAGGGCTGGATTGCGTACAGACCAGCCTTGTCAACTGTCGGCACAGCAACCCTGAGGAAGACCACAACAAGATGGTCGAAACGTCGGCACCACAGCCTTCGAAGCGGCGTCACCCGGACAGCCAAGATCATTTCCACCTGTTCGGAGTGAATCACGCCAGGAGAGGATATTGTGTGGCCGTCGGGAATCGAGAAGCGGTGCGCGGCTGGAGCAAAAGGCCGCGCGCGGGCCTGGGGTCGACGCCAGCCGTCGGCGGTCTGGCGCGGGCAGCGCTGTGAGGGGGGGGGGGCGAGGAGCTCTGCGCGGCCTGCCCTTACCGACCCACTCCGCCTCGACGCTCGCGTACGTCGTCACAACTCGTCTCGGCCTACACCCATTACCTTCACCTCTGCCGCTAGCCTCGTCCTCTTCGTTCGTTTCAGTTTTCGGTGCGCGTGTTTTACTACATATCCGCTGTACATATCCGTCTTACCCAAATACTTCCGATTTCGTCGTTCTTCTCCTTCGCGTGTTTGTCACTCATCTCCGCTTTCTCTATCATTACCGTTCATCACCACTCGCCTCCATCTTCTCGGATCGCCTCTGTCTTCGCCGCTTGCATTCATCTTCACCATTAGTCTTCGCTTACACGATCATCATATTGTCGCATCCATTCGTTCTCACCAGTCACCTTCATCTTGGGCGTTCGCTTCCATCTGAGCAGAACGTTAGAATCTTCGCCACTCGTTTCCGTCACCGTTTAACTACACCTTCTGCACCATTTTCGCCTACGCCTCCCACCCCACCACCCCTGCCTTTGCCGCTCTCTTCTGCCTCCACAGGTCACCTCCATCTTCCTATACTCGCCTCTGCCTTTATTGTATCCCACCTTCTTCATTTGTCTTTGCCTTCGCCTGAAGACTCCTCCGTTCGTTTTCTTCATGCACCGTGCACTGAATTCGCAATGTTTCCTGATTTTCAATCTCTTCGACACCTTCGTCTTCATCAGACTCCTCCTACTCCGCCGGTCCTTATTTCCCACCAACGATCACCAAACTCGATCAGGTTTTGCGTCCAGTTTCCCTTATCCGTTGATCAAATGCTGAGATGCCCCTGGGTTTGCTTCTAAGCATAAATTTAGCTTTACTTGGCGCACATGCGTTGAGATCTCCTTTTCTTAGTTGTGGTAGAAGAAGAGCCAGCGGTTTGGGTTGCTATTTTCTTAATAATACTAAACAATTAAATCTGTAGTTAATTTACCGATGCACGTAATTTTTCTCTAACTCGGACACGAGAATTTCTAGTTTTTCAAATGTTGCTAACCGGGTTTTTTTGGTACCGTTTTTCATCAAACATCCAGTTATTGTTAAAGAGTGAGGAAGAGATCGTAGCACAAGAAAACGTGTGAACATTGTACTTCTCCGTCATACGTCTTAAACAGTTTTTACTGTTCTTAGACGGAAATCAAATTAAAACATAGCTTCTTCGTCCGCGCTGCTGTCTTCAGTCCACTTCGTCAGCATCGACCACCTCCTCGATTACCGCCTGCCCTTGGTTCCATCGCCGCCTCTGCGCCTTGCCCTCCCGCTGCCTCCACCGCCTCCATCCTCCTCCACCGCCGCCGCCAGCGCCGCCCCGGAAGCGCCGCCCCGCGTAGTATCGTCCTCCATCGCGGGCACGTGCCGGCCGGGCGGCGCGGCGCCGGCGGGGGCGGGGGCGGGGGCGTGTCCGGCGCAGCGGCGATCTCCGCCCCGCCCCCTCCCGGCGCTGGATCCTGATGCTCTTTCGGCTCTTCCTCCAGGCCCCATTACGCAGGCCGCGGATTGCAGCACGTCGCGCGAGAGGGTCGTCGGATCGGTACTTCCCTAACGGAGAACAAACGAACAATACACGTAGAATCCAGACCCCATTACGCAGGCCGCGGATTGCAGCACGTCGCGCGAGAGGGTCGTTGAATCGGTACTTCCCTAACAGAGAACCGACGAACAATACACGTAGAATCCAGACCCCATAAGGCAGGCCGCGGACTGCAGCACATCGCGCGAGAGGGTCGTCGGATCGGCACTTCCGTAACGGAGAACCAACGAACAATACACCTAGAATCCAGACCCCATAAGGCAGGCCGCGGACT